AGCTCCCTTTGTTTTTCTACGTTCATGAAGTCAAAACTAACTTCTAACCAGTACATAAAAGTTTTTGAGTTTTCTATAATATTAAGTATTGCGCCCACTTTCACACTCAGGACAGATCAAAATTCATTAATGAACTGATTAGCTATTATTTCTACGGTTTATTTGACACGACTCCTTAGATCTGCTCCGCCGTGTTTCTCAAAACACATTCGATAGAAGAAGGGCGATCTCATTCTTATTAACGGACAGTTGTTTCCTGGATGAGCGATTATTTGATTTGTTCCAGAGGCTCTATCTTTTTTGGACAATTTTTGGAATTTGGAGACATTTTTGTCTGCTGACATTTCGAAAATTTATGACGACGATTTACCTTAACCGTTTTTCTACTGTGTTCCTCCTCATCATCAGTAGCTGGTAATGTGTCGTCATCCATGTTTGTTACAAGCTAACAATGTAAATATTCAAATAATTTATTTACAGGCTATAGAAAAAGGTGAAACTCCACCGCTGCCGCCTTCACCGCCCCCAGCAAAAATGGTTGATACTGAACCAAAAAAGATCAGCCAGGTCGGTTAATTCTGCTGCATTAAATTAGGTCATTTATAATTTTTTAGTACCACTAATTTTTCGAATTTATGTGCATTCTGCTTTGGTGGTTCGGTCAGCTGCAGTTCATAGCATGTTTTCCAGCTAATCAGATTGCAAATTTTCCTATTATTTTGATCAGTAGATTCTAGATTAACTGGTAATCAGCGTACTAGCGATTCAGGTGTTTTGATTCTTGAAGGAATTGCTTACTTCCCACCGAATCACCTTCGCAAAGCTTTAACCATTGCAGAATTTCTTTGTTAAACATCATCGCTTCGTCCCTGATGTTATTTTGCCAGTTAGGAGTATTCCACGAAAACATTAAGTACTGCCTTGAAATCTCTCGTGCATTATTTATATACATTATTTTGAAGGAAAGAAGTAAATACATTATTTTGAAGGGTAGAAAAATTTTCCAGCTTTGCTGAAATAGGACTGGCCAGAATGTGCATTTGATTTTAATCAAGAATTTGAGTTTTATTATGTTTACAATGACAAAATGAGAGAATGGACTCTACAACTGACAAGAATCTGATTTTTAGAGTGCTTCG